CCTTCAGGGCGCCGTCTTCTACACAGACTTGGCCTTAACCCAATATCTGACCAAGACCCTCTGCAGCCGGTACCAGAGCTCTGGCGTCAAAAGCTATGGGTGGAACCTCTACCCCGTAATATGAACCCCGACCTCCATCCTGGCCGTAGACTAGCACGCACCGCGGCCCTTCATACGCGACACTCCGATCGTCCTGGTGTTTTCTACGTGGACGTCTCGGGTCCCTCACCCTCGGGTCACTTCACGGCTGCCGTGATTACAGAGGGCAAACACGTTGATGGCTTCTCCTTTCGAAAAGACACAGTAACGCACGCTGAAGGGGTTGCTATAGCTTTGGCTGCCTCTCACCCTGCCTCACTCACGCACCACCCCGATGGACTCGCGCTCGGCCTGTTCTCAGTACCTTCAGGGTTCCATTGCCCAGCTGGCAGCTAGCCTACTACAGGCAGCCTCTTGGCGCTTTGACCCTCAACCCATTCGTATAGTCTGGACCCCAGGCCACTCGGGCCTGCCCGGCAACAAGGCGGCAAATGCCGCTGCCCGCGCTTCTCCTGTCCGGGCCGTTGCCCCTCCATGTCCCGAGACGGAATGTGGCAATACCGACCTCACGTGCTTTTGCGAAATTTTGGCTTATTACCAGGCTTCGCGCCGCCTCTACCCGGACCCCGCACGCGGTTTGGAGAAAGCGGACGAACGACTGCTATGCCGCCTGCAGACGTTCGTGTACGAGACGATGTGTACGAGACGATATCATGGGTCGAACAACTGCTTTATTGCCTATAGTGACGAGTTTAAGTAGGCCAGGCTGGTGACGTCACGCTTACGTAGGAGCGACAGCTTGCGCTCGCTATCGCGGCCGTGCCAACTCGGTTACATCTTCCTTTCCTTGGGACAATATAGGTCACTCTGGCATGGGGTACCGACGAGGCTCTCGACGTTCCCGAGTGCTTCTCCGTGGTAGTGGCGGCTCTGGAACGGGACCCGAGCCTGGCAAGCCTGAGGAAGGTGTTGTGGTAGTGTCGGGGCATGGTAGCTCTGGAACCTCCCGGAGATGTTCCCGTGTGCGTCGCATTTCTCGGCCATCTTCTGTTTTAACCAGTACGGAGCGTGGAGCTCCCGCTTATCCCAGCACAACGACCGGGCACCACGTCCGTGTGTGCGTGTCGTATAAGTCTGGTGGTTGCAAGGCACTTTTTGCCGGAAATCAATGGCACCTGCTCAATCTGTCATGTGCTCGCCGACACACATCACGTCGTAGCATCGTGCCCAGTTAATCCCGTCCCTTTCTCATCCTCTTTTCCTATCCCAACTAGAGAGGATTGGGAGGAGCACCTGCTCGGCTGCTCTACCTTGGCTGCGCAACGCTCCTTGGTGGAGCGCGCACGGGCACCTTCCAGCTCCACTGGCGTCCCGGAATAGGGTCTTGCCACTCAAGCACGCCGATGGGCCACGTCGGCACTCTCTAGTTGACTTTTTTTGAAATAAATGTTTTTACCACCACCTACCATGTCATATTTTTATGTTAGGGTCTGTCGCTTGTGTTCGCCGTGCAATCATGCCATACCATACCTGTTTGGCAACATGCCATGTGAACTGAACCACCGCAAGAGCTGCAGGAACATGAAATGTAAATTATGACATTCATGCCACACATGTCATGGTTTTCATGTTATGACTAGCCAAGTATGTTCTTCATACAGTCATGTTATGCCATACCAAGTTTGGTATCGATACCACTATCGAAACGGCCAGGAGAGCTGAGAGTCGTAAGCGGATAGATAGATAGATAGATAGATAGATAGATAGATAGATAGATAGATAGATAGATAGATAGATAGATAGATAGATAGATAGATAGATAGATAGATAGATAGATAGATAGATAGATAGATAGATAGATAGATAGATAGATAGATAGATAGATAGATAGATAGATAATAGATAGATAGATAGATAGATAGATAGATAGATAGATAGATAGATAGATAGATAGATAGATAGATAAGATAGATAGATAGATAGATAGATAGTAGATAGATAGATAGATAGATAGATAGATAGATAGATAGATAGATAGATAGATAGATAGATAGATGGATGGATGGATGGATGGATGGATGGATGGATGGATGGAGGATGGATGGATGGATGGATAGATGGATAGATAGATAGATAGATAGATAGATAGATAGATAGATAGATAGATAGATAGATAGATAGATAGATAGATAGATAGATAGATAGATAGATAGATAGATAGATACGCTCCAAGTCACCGAAGTTCGCGAAGAAATGTTTCGCATTTAAAAAGCGATAGCATTATGCTTCCCGTTTATGGTCTTGGCCTTAACACGTTCTTCGAAATGTGCGCATGGGATAAAAGTGACACGGAATAACACGGTACTTCACGTAACGCAATACACGAAAGAAAAGACAAGCATCATATATACCTTTTCATTTTTTTGTTGGCCTGACACTATTCCTTAGAATAGCCCGTATCTAGGCCGTCCGCGCGCCTTGGTCAGTCGGAAATACAAATACATACACTCGCGCCTCATATTCATGGGTTCCACAGAAATGTGGCACAACGATTTCTTGGCACCGCAGCTGCTCGCAATCTGGTCCCTCACAAACGAACTCGAGCACAACCACAAGCAGCACACATCACAACTCCGAACATCTCGACGGCACACAGCAAATGATGACACACTCGTTGTTTCTCGTCGAAGCGCAGAAATGTTGCAGGTATTGCAACGCCGATGGCAATGCGTTGCCGATTGTCGGCGTCGATTGCACTGAGTGCCACTGCAGCGCACAACGCAACCAGCGTCTTCAGCCCATTGACATGCGGTAGAGCTGTCTGGCCTTGACCAAATTTCTTCAGCTGGCGGTGGCTCAACGCGCCAAACTCACACAGATAGTCACACTACTGATTGACTCCCGCGCTGCCCGCGCTATCCAGAGAAGACGCCGCCGGCTCGCGTTCGCATAATGCACATGACATGAAAAGGCGCAGTGGCGCCACGAGAAATCCTAGCGGCAGGCCGTGTCGTTTTGGAACGCCGAGACAGGAGCCGTGGCCTGCTGGTCGTGCCACTAGATCATATTCTAGTTCACTATAATAACGGAGAACGTGCCATGAACGACTACGAAGAAATGAAGATGCGTGTGGCGGCTCATCTAAAAGCGGAGCTGAGGGCTCGTAAAGCTGCCGCGGCACAGCGACGCAGGCAAGCGAACCCGGAGCTGAGGGCACGCGAAGCTGCAGCGGCACGCCGAAGAAGGCAAGTGAACCCGGAGCTGAGGGCTCGCGAAGCTGCTGCGGCATGGCGACGCAGGCAAGCGAACCCGGAGCTGAGGGCTCGCGAAGCTGCAGCGGCATGGCGACGCAGACAAGCGAACCCGGAGCTGAGGGCACGCGAAGCTGCTGCGGCATGGCGACGCAGACAAGCGAACCCGGAGCTGAGGGCTCGCGAAGCTGCAGCGGCATGGCGACGCAGACAAGCGAACCCGGAGCTGAGGGCTCGCGAAGCTGCAGCGGCATGGCGACGCAGGCAAGCGAACCGGAGCTGAGGGCTCGCGAAGCTGCTGCGGCATGGGCGACGCAGGCAAGCGAACCCGGAGCTGAGGGCTCGCGAAGCTGCAGCGGCATGGCGACGCAGACAAGCGAACCCGGAGCTGAGGGCACGCGAAGCTGCTGCGGCATGGCGACGCAGGCAAGCAAACCCGGAGCTGAGGGCTCGCGAAGCTGCTGCGGCATGGCGACGCAGGAGAGCGAACCCGGAGCTGAGGGCTCGCGAAGCTGCCGCGGCACGGCGACGCAGGCAAGCGAACCCGGAGCTGAGGGCACGCGAAGCTGCCGCGGCATGGCGACGCAGGCAAGCGAACCTGGAGCTGAGGGCTCGCGAAGCTGCAGCGGCACGGCTACGCAGGCAAGCGAACCCAGAGCTGAGGACACGCGAAGCTGCCGCGGCATGGCGATGCAGGCAAGCGAACCCGGAGCTGAGGGCACGTGAAGCTGCCGCGGCACGCCGAAGAAGACAAGCGAACCCGGAGCTGAGGGCACGCGAAGCTGCCGCGGCATGGCGACGCAGGCAAGCGAACCCGGAGCTGAGGGCACGCGAAGCTGCCGCGGCACGCCGAAGAAGGCAAGCGAACCCGGAACTGAGGGCACGCGAAGCTGCCGCGGCACGGCGACGCAAGCAAGCGAACCCGGAGCTGAGGGCACGCGAAGCTGCCGCGGCATGGTGACGCAGGCAAGCGAACCCGGAGCTGAGAGCACGCGAAGCTGCCGCGGCACGCCGAAGAAGGCATGCGAACCCGGAGCTGAGGGCACGCGAAGCTGCCGTGGCATGGCGACGCAGGCAAGCGAACCCGGAGCTGAGGGCACGCGAAGCTGCCGCGGCATGGCGACGCAGGCAAGCGAACCCGGAGCTGAGGGCACGCGAAGCTGCCGCGGCACGCCGAAGAAGGCATGCGAACCCGGAGCTGAGGGCACGCGAAGCTGCCGCGGCATGGCGACGCAGGCAAGCGAACCCGGAGCTGAGGGCACGCGAAGCTCCCGCGGCATGGCGACGCAGGCAAGCGAACCCGGAGCTGAGGGCTTGCGAAGCTGCAGCGGCACGGCGACGCAGGCAAGCGAACCCGGAGCTGAGGGCACGCGAAGCTGCCGCGGCATGGCGATGCAGGCAAGCGAACCCGGAGCTGAGGGCACGCGAAGCTGCCGCGGCATGGCGACGCAGGCAAGCGAACCCGGAGCTGAGGGCTCACGAAGCTGCAGCGGCACGGCGACGCAGGCAAGCGAACCCGGAGCTGAGGGCACGCGAAGCTGCTGCGGCACGGCGACGCAGGCAAGCGAACCCGGAGCTAAGGGCTCGTGAAGCTGCTGCGGAATGGCGATGCAGGCAAGCGAACCCGGAGCTGAGGGCTCGCGAAGCTGCTGTGGCATGGCGACACAGGCAAGCTAACCCGGAGCTGAGGGCTCGCGAAGCTGCTGCGGCATGGCGACGCAGGCAAGCGAACCCGGAGCTGAGGGCACGCGAAGCTGCTGCGGCATGGCGACGCAGGCAAGCGAACCCGGAGCTGAGGGCTCGCGAAGCTGCTGCGGCATGGCGATGCAGGCAAGCGAACCCGGAGCTGAGGGCTCGCGAAGCTGCTGCGGCATGGCGACGACGCAGGCAAGCGAACCCGAAGCTGAAGGCTCGCGAAGCTGCAGCGGCACGCCGAAGAAGGCAAGCGAACCCGGAGCTGAGGGCACGCAAAGCTGCCGCGGCTTGGCGATGCAGGCAAGCGAACCCGGAGCTGAGGACACGCGAAGCTGCCGCGCCACGCCGAAGAAGGCAAGCGAACCCGGAGCTGAGGGCACGCGAAGCTGCCGCGGCACGCCGAAGAAGGCAACCGAACCCGGAGCTGAGGGCTAGCGAAGCTGCAGCGGCATGGCGAAGAAGGCTAATGAACCTGGAGGCAGCGAGGGCACGCGAAGCTGCAGTGGCACGCCGAAGAAGGCAAGCGAACCCGGAGCAGAGGGCACGCGAAGCTGCAGCGGCATGGCGAAGAAGGCAAGCGAACCCGGAGCTGAGGGCACGCGAAGCTGCAGCGGCACGCCGAAGAAGGCAAGCGAACCAGGAGCTGAGGTCTAGCGAAGCTGCAGCGGCACGCCGAAGAAGGCAAGCGAACTCGGAGCTGAGGGCTAGCGAAGCTGCCGCGGACGCGGAAGAAGGCAAGCGAACCCGGAGCTGAGGGCACGCGAAGCTGCGGCGGCACGGCGAAGAAGGCAAGCGAACCCGGAGCTTAGGGCTAGCGAAGCTGCCGTGGCACGCGGAAGAAGGCAAGCGAACCCGGAGCTGAGGGCTAGCGAAGCTGCCGCGGCACGCCGAAGAAGGCAAGCGATCCCGGAGCTGAGGGCTAGCGAAGCTGCCACGGCACGCCGAAGAAGGCAACCGATCCAGGAGCTGAGGGCTAGCGAAGCTGCAGCGGCACGCCGAAGAAGGCAACCGAACCTGGAGGCAGCGAGGGCTAGCGAAGCTGCAGCGGCACGCCGAAGAAGGCAAGCGAACCCGGAGCTGAGGGCTAGTGAAGCTGCAGAGGCACGCCGAAGAAGACAAGCGAACCTGGATCTGAGAGCTAGCGAAGCTGCAGCGGCACGGCGCAGAAGGCTAATGTACCTGGAGGCAGCGAGGGCACGCGAAGCTGCAGCGGCACGACTAAGAAGGCAAGCGAACCCGGAGCTGAGGGCTAGCGAAGCTGCAGCGGCACGGCGAAGAAGGCTAATGAACCTGGAGGCAGCGAGGGCACGCGAAGCTGCAGAGGCACGGCTAAGAAGGCAAGCGAACCCGGAGCTGAGGGCACGCGAAGCTGCCGCGGCACGCCGAAGAAGGCAACCAAACCCGAAGCTGAGGGCTAGCGAAGCTGCAGCGGCACGCCAAAGAAGGCAAGCGAACCCGGAGCTGAGGGCTAGCGAAGCTGCAGCGGCACGGCGAAGAAGGCTAATGAACCTGGAGGCAGCGAGGGCACGCGAAGCTGCAGCGGCACGACTAAGAAGGCAAGCGAACCCGGAGCTGAGGGCTAGCGAAGCTGCAGCGGCACGGCGAAGAAGGCTAATGAACCTGTAGGCAGCGAGGGCACGCGAAGCTGCAGCGGCACGGCGAAGAAGGCTAATGTACCTGGAGGCAGCGAGGGCACGCGAAGCTGCAGCGGCACGACTAAGAAGGCAAGCGAACCCGGAGCTGAGGGCTAGCGAAGCTGCAGCGGCACGGCGAAGAAGGCTAATGAACCTGGAGACAGCGAGGGCACGCGAAGCTGCAGAGGCACGGCTAAGAAGGCAAGCGTAGCTGCTGCGGCACGGCGACGTAGGCTAATGAACCTGGAGGCGGTGAAGGCACGCGAAGCTGCAGTGGCACGGCGACAAAGGCAAGCGAACCCGGAGCTGAGGGCACGCGTAGCTGCTGCGGCACGGCGACGTAGGCTAATGAACCTGGAGGCAGCGAGGGCACGCGAAGCTGCAGCGGCACGGCTAAGAAGGCAAGCGAACCCGGAGCTGAGGGCTAGCGAAGCTGCAGCGGCACGGCGAAGAAGGCTAATGAACCTGGAGGCAGCGAGGGCACGCGAAGCTGCAGCGGCACGGCTAAGAAGGCAAGCGAACCCGGAGCTGAGGGCTAGCGAAGCTGCAGCGGCACGGTGAAGAAGGCTAATGAACCTGGAGGCAGCGAGGGCACGCGAAGCTGCAGCGGCACGCCGAAGAAGGCAAGCGAACCCGGAGCTGAGGGCTAGCGAAGCTACAGCGGCACGGCGAAGAAGGCTAATGAACCTGGAGGCAGCGAGGGCACGCGAAGCTGCAGCGGCACGCCGAAGAATGCAAGCGAACCCGGGACTGAGGGCACGCGAAGCTGCAGCGGCACGCCGAAGAAGTCTAATGAACCTGGAGGCAGCGAGGGCTCGCGAAGCTGCAGCGGCACGCCGAAAAAGGCAAGCGAACCCGGAGCTGAGGGCACGCGTAGCTGCTGCGGCACGGCGACGTAGGCTAATGAACCTGGAGGCAGTGAAGGCAGGCGAAGCTGCAGTGGCACGGCGACAAAGGCAAGCGGATCCGGAAGCTGCGAGAATACGAGAAGGAGTACGAGAAGCGATGGCAAAATGCCGGAAGCGTTCGGAACCTGATGTTGGTGGCGCCGACATTCGGCTTTTGCACGATTTTCTCGGCCTAACTTTTGGTCCTTCGAGGACAACCGCAATTGCTGTGTTGCAGCGAGAGTTTGCCGGCGGCGAAGACGATCACAGTGAGTACTTGGTTCCGTTGCTTTTCTGTGGAGAAAAATGATTGGCAGATCCAACGTACAGTGGGAATCGATGATGTGCGAAGCACAAATAAGCAAGGTAATATGTCACTCGAAAATCAGCACAATGTTATGGGATGAAGGTAAATGATGCCGTAAATGACGTACAGTTCACGATTATTATGTTTGGATGTGTCGTTTACCTTCGTCATTTATTCACGGCACGTGATACCAAATTTAGAATACGTGGAGCTAGCGAAACGGCCGCGAGCACGCTATGACTGTGGTATGTAGTTATTTTCTTAAAAGGCACGCTTGTCAGCATTATCATGTTTGCACCAGTCATATACTTTCGTAATCAATTGACGTCACGTAACACCGAATTTGTTATAAGTCTACTTTGCAAAACGGCCACGAGCATATCATGAAGGGCCCAATATACTCTGATGTAGCGTTGACGCACGCGCACGCTGGGCACAGTGACGCTAAAACGCGAGCACTCTATAGTCTGACGCCAGGCGCGACCGGAGCGACCAGCGTCCCTCGGCGCGGCCCAGTGGCAACCGGCGCGAAATGCGAAGTGCAGCATTTCGCACCGACCAAGAGAGCACTGCGTCTCCCTCTTTTCGTGACGGATGGATGCTGGATGCGCTTAAACCCGCATGCGTCGAAGCAACGCAGCTCGGCGCGCGCCTGCAAGTATATTGCAAGACGGGCGCCTGGCGTGGCAACGCCTGCGTGACGCGATGAAATTAACGCCGGTGAGCACTCGCACCGCGTCACGTCGAAATGTATTGGCGCTTCACATGTGGTATGTAGTCATGTTCTCACATGACACGCATCTCATGATTATCATGTTTGCACCAGTCACGCACTTTCGTCATCCATTGACGTCGCATAATGCAAAAATTAGCCTATGAGCAGCTAGCGAAACGGCCGCGAGTGCATCATGAGTGTGGCATGTAGTGATTTTGTTACAAGACACGCATTTCATAATTATCATGTTTGGATGCATCATTTACCGATGTCGTCAGTTCGCGTTGCGTAATACCGAGTTTCCTACATGTGAAGCTAGCGAAACGGCTACGAGCGCATCATGAGCGTAGCATGTAGTCAAGTTGTTACATAACACGTATCTCACGTTCATCATGTTTGGACCAGTATCATACCTTCGTCATCCATTCACGTCCCGTAATGCCAAATTTGGTATAAGTGAAGCTAGCGAAACGGCCGCCAGCGCATCATGAGCATGGCATGTAGTCATGTTGTTACATGACACGCATATCATGATTTTCATGTTAAGGTGGGTCGCTCGTTTTCGGCATGCAATCATGTCATACCATACCAGTTTTGCAACACGCCATGCGAACGAAACCACTGCAAGAGCTGCAGGACCATGAAATGTAAATCATGACATCCATAACATACATGTCATGATTTGTCATGATACATGTCATGGATGGATGTATGGATGGATGGATGGATGGATGGATGGATGGATGGATGGATGGATGGATGGATGGATGGATGGATGGATGGATGGACGGACGGATGGACGGATGCGCTCAGGGTCGCCGAAGTTCGCAAATAAATGCGCTGTTGTGGAGTCGGGTTTTCAACCGAGGCAGTGGACATCGTGTTGCCTAAGGTCCGGTGCAAGATAAGATACAAACACTACATGTGGGGATACTCGCGAGACGCGATCGACCAAATAAAGTAAGTAAATAAAGTGCGTCCGTCGGACCGCCGCCGGCAGCGCGTACCTAACGGCGAGTAGACGCAACCCGAAGACAGAAGGAGGCGTTGCTCTGACAACCAGTCCTTCTCGGGAAATTTGAATTAAATGGAACAGAAGCATTGTTCGCTCCAAAGAGTGAAAATCGATTACTGCTGTCTGCAAGCATGACGCGAGCTTAATTCAGCGGAGTGCGCAATCTACAGGCCTCTCTATTCGGTCATTATCCAGTGACGCAGGCGGCGCCATGCAGCCGTGCTCCAGAAGCTGTCACACGGTGATGAACTGCAACGCAGTTCGGTCTCTCAGTAGTCATGAACCAATGAACGCGTACCCAAGCTCCATGACGCTGACGTGCACACATGCGACATCACCGTCTCGTCTGCCATTTCGACCGACCGCTAAGCCACCTATAGTCACTGGAATGATCGAATGGAACGCATGCCGATATTTGAAGTGGTTCTCGCACGTCCTGTGAACTTAATACTGTTTGGGGCGTAACAGACACGCAGATTACTGGCATGCTTTGCAAAATTTCGTATGAAGCGGTACTTTATTTAAATGCACTAGTTTTAGTGCACTCGCTGATGGTAGGTGGGGCACTCGTATCGGCAAGCTGGATCTGGGAAGTGCGCAAACGGCGTGGACAGACGCACATGTTTTTGATAACCAGCAAAGCAGAACTAGAACAAGACTGCGTGTTTGCTCCTAAAAATAGAAGCAACCACTTAGATGCATTTATCAATTTGTTGGCGTGCATTATTACATAAGTGCCGATCGGCGCTGTACCAAATTCTTTTTCGCCGTTCTGATAATAACCATACGACGAAAAGTTCACGACCATGTGATTACCCGCTTTGAGACTGTTTACGGGGGACCCTGCACATATCTTCTCGCTGATTTTACGATCCCT